GTGTAGCGTGTGGCCAACGTCTCTTCTAGCGACGTCTGCTGCCTAAACCCAGTTATTTTGTCTTCACGTTCAATGCCTCCGACATGCGGTACGTCCTCTAATCCGCGTGTTCCTTTCGCCGTCTCTCGGTGTTAATTCCAAGCGCCCATCTCTCTCCACGCTTCCGTGCGCACTTGTCGGCTCCGTGAGGGCAGCAAATGTGAATGACGAGTTAACAAATGTCAAAACATTTTGACAGTGGGCCCATGAACTCATTTGAGGCCGACTCCACCTCGGCAAGACCCAGGAAAGGTGTAGATTCAAATAGTAGCGCATGACCAGGAATCCTAAACGAAACTATTTTTTATTATAGCAGGTAAGACCCACTGAACTATAATATCCCTTTTTCAGAAGCGGCCTGGCCACAAATGATAGCTCAACGAAGTGGCTTATCAGCCAAGTAATCTAAACGCATGTTTCTCAATGTGGAGGGAAAAACCGGAGGACCCGGAGAAAAATCCACGCGACCACGGGGAGAGATACACACAGGCTTCAAATGTACAGCGGGCGGCAGGGTCTGGATCGAACCCACGACCTCCTGCATACCAGGAGAGGTAGTAAACATCTCGCCACCGTGGCGCTCCGAACACAGGCCGAGTTCGTGACGCACTGCAAGTGGCATCTGACCCTGTTATGGTCTTCACTTAGGTCGACTCAACCTTCAGTTGACGGTCTTGGGCTGTGATCCTCCTTGGACCTTACCGACGTGACCAATGAGTGTCTGTTTTGGTGTTGTGAGCCGTCAGCGAAGGGGGAGACAAAGACGGGCGGGCGTGGTTCTTGTCAGTATCAACCGCCCTCGAACATCTGACTTCATCTGTGCTCGCTCACGGCACTTGCCACGACAGTCGAATGCGCGCTGCACCGTACATATCGATTTGGTCTTTGTGCGCGTGTAACGTTTAGGGAGGGTGGCGCTATTTATAGAGCAATTACGCAACATCTTGTTCAGGGCACACGATGCGATGCGAGTCTCTGTGTGTGCGTGTACGCGGATCTCCGCTTGACAGCGCCGGGAAGCAACAGAAGCGGCACCGCCGCTGCGAAGAATGGCTTTGTGTGTGGGTGGATGTGTGAAGTGGATTGCGTGAGTGAGTGGGGAGCGGCGGTGCAGCGGTTAGCGCGCTGCGCTGTGAACCCAGGCGAACCGAGTTTGATTCCCGCTCGCGACGAATATCTAGAACCGGTCATGGGCCTCATCTAGGTCGACGCAGCCTCAAATGAGTACCTGGTGTGGTGTGTGAACATCAGCACTGGGGAGACAAAGGCGGCCGGGCGTGGGGCTGTACACCTCATCCCTCGTGCGCCGTAACGGCCTTCGTCGGTGCTCGTTAACAGTACTTGCCCCAAAAGTTTGTCAAGGGCTATCCGGGGCATCTTTGCCTTTGGAAGGTGCAGATGAATTTGTCTTCTGTATAGAGAAGGTAGATTTGGTATGCAGTCTTGCCGTGTATACTCTGCAAATGGCGCGTGAGAATTCGCCTCTCTTGGCGAAATTATAATTGTTCGCGATTGTGGGAATGTGTTTCGATTCAATAATTGACGCTTGTAAAGCTTCCCCATTACGTTTGAACTCGTGAATGCATGAACTCCGTCGGTCCGTCTGCGTGTCTCTACGGCCACGGTAATTCTCGTAAGGAAGATCCGATCTAAACAACATTTTAGCGCAAAGTTGTGTTGCTATTGTGGATTTTGCCCTGCAGAAAAGCGGGCACATTGAGTCAAGGGTTACCCAAAATATGGCGATAAAAAATAAAGCACACGGCGATAACGGCTTAAGCGTTTTCGGCCAAGGCAATGACGTCACAAGCCATGCGCCCTGTGACGTCATTCAACAATGCCACGTGTTAAGGCCAATCTTGATTTGAATCTTGATTTGAAGCTTTCGTGACTGCAGGAATATATACTCACGTAGGTATAAAATAATATTTTATACCTACGTGACTTTACCGAACGAACCAAAGAGTATAGTGTGTTAAGGCCAATCAAAAACCTGCACTTACCGTTGCAAAATCTATCCGTATGCATGCATTTTCTTCCTAATTTAACACTGTGATGAACTGATATCGCGATCTCTCGTTAACAGCATATATGTCACCTAAACCCATTACTTACATGATGTACAACAATGTATTGATACAAGCGTTGGCAATTATTGACATGATTAAATACAAGAATAATTACGTACAATGTGCAGCCCTTTGCCAATCTAGTACTTTATCAAGCTGGAATCCCAGTTTATTAAGTGAGCTTGCACCACCGCACGCTCTGACACACCCACACACACACAGAGTGGGGTCCGTTAACTTTCGATGCGTTTTTTGTTTTACGGCGTTGCATGGGACACCTTGGCCTCGATGCGATGTTAGACCTCTCGCATGTGCACACCTGTCAGCCCCTTAGCAGTGCCCTCTACCTTATTACAGACCAAGTCAGACCTTATTGGTCTCACCCCGTGCTCTTGTAAATCTCAACGTCCATCCTACAAAGTCCCATCACAAGGGAGAAACACAAACAAATAGACAAAACAATGTTTGCCCATATTCAAACGGCTGTACGCCGTGTGGACCTGAAAACTCTATTTACCTTTACAAGAATACGATCAACCGTATGGGTTGACACGGTATGCATGTAGGAGGAACGATACGCGGACGTGAACGTTTGCGCTGGTGAGCTGCTCTGCTACTGCTGTGTAGTGGTGGTGAGTTTAGCATCAGTGTCTGGTGAGCTGCTGTGTAGTGGTGGTGAGTTAGCATCGGTGTCTGGTGAGCTGCTGTGTAGTGGTGGTGGTGAGTTTAGCATCGGTGTCTGGTGAGCTGCTGTGTAGTGGTGGTGAGTTTAGCATCAGTGTCTGGTGAGCTGCTGTGTAGTGGTGGTGAGTTAGCAACGGTGTCTGGTGAGCTGCTGTGTAGTGGTGGTGAGTTAGCATCGGTGTCTGGTGAGCTGCTGTGTAGTGGTGGTGAGTTAGCATCGGTGTCTGGTGAGCTGCTGTGTAGTGGTGGTGAGTTAGCATCGGTGTCTGGTGAGCTGCTGTGTAGTGGTGGTGAGTTAGCAACGGTGTCTGGTGAGCTGCTGTGTAGTGGTGGTGAGTTAGCATCGGTGTCTGGTGAGCTGCTGTGTAGTGGTGGTGAGTTAGCAACGGTGTCTGGTGAGCTGCTGTGTAGTGGTGGTGAGTTAGCATCGGTGTCTGGTGAGCTGCTGTGTAGTGGTGGTGAGTTTAGCATCGGTGTCTGGTGAGCTGCTGTGTAGTGGTGGTGAGTTAGCAACGGTGTCTGGTGAGCTGCTGTGTAGTGGTGGTGAGTTAGCATCGGTGTCTGGTGAGCTGCTGTGTAGTGGTGGTGAGTTAGCATCGGTGTCTGGTGAGCTGCTGTGTAGTGGTGGTGAGTTAGCAACGGTGTCTGGTGAGCTGCTGTGTAGTGGTGGTGAGTTAGCATCGGTGTCTGGTGAGCTGCTGTGTAGTGGTGGTGAGTTTAGCATCGGTGTCTGGTGAGCTGCTGTGTAGTGGTGGTGAGTTAGCAACGGTGTCTGGTGAGCTGCTGTGTAGTGGTGGTGAGTTAGCATCGGTGTCTGGTGAGCTGCTGTGTAGTGGTGGTGAGTTAGCATCGGTGTCTGGTGAGCTGCTGTGTAGTGGTGGTGAGTTAGCAACGGTGTCTGGTGAGCTGCTGTGTAGTGGTGGTGAGTTAGCATCGGTGTCTGGTGAGCTGCTGTGTAGTGGTGGTGAGTTTAGCATCGGTGTCTGGTGAGCTGCTGTGTAGTGGTGGTGAGTTAGCAACGGTGTCTGGTGAGCTGCTGTGTAGTGGTGGTGAGTTAGCATCGGTGTCTGGTGAGCTGCTGTGTAGTGGTGGTGAGTTAGCATCGGTGTCTGGTGAGCTGCTGTGTAGTGGTGGTGAGTTAGCAACGGTGTCTGGTGAGCTGCTGTGTAGTGGTGGTGAGTTAGCATCGGTGTCTGGTGAGCTGCTGTGTAGTGGTGGTGAGTTTAGCATCGGTGTCTGGTGAGCTGCTGCTGTGTCGTGGTGGTGAGTTTAGCATCGGTGTCTGGTGAGCTGCTGTGTAGTGGTGGTGAGTTAGCATCGGTGTCTGGTGAGCTGCTCCCGTGTGGTGGAGGTGGTTTCGGATGAACACACGGACGGACAGCCAGACTATTTCCCGGGCGGAGCAATAAGTCGGCTGTCAGCTCTCGTCAAGCGCAGGACCATCACCACCAAACACAGATCCTACCATGCACAGCTCAAGCAACCGTGATTTCACCATCGCGTGTTCATTGGCTGCTTCCAACAACATGCCCTTACCCCCCTCCCACACCAACATTTCCTCCCATATTCAATCCACCTCCTCCTGCTCCCAACCCTACCCCAGCACACTCATCCCTCCTCCTTATCCTCCCTTCCTCCCCATTACCCCCCCCACCACCACCACCCCTTACACCCTCTCCTCCTCCTCCTCCTCCCCTGACGCCCTCCCTCAACTCCCACCATCACGACCACCACCACCACAATCTCCCAAAAGCCCTGATGGGGGAGTAAGCGTAGAGACATCTGTGCGTGGAATGGGTTCGCCATTGTGTGCGCGTCGGGGAGCGGTGGTGTAGCGGCCAGCGCGCTGCGCTACGAAACCCGAACACCCGGGTTCGATTCCCGCTCACGGCCAACAACGGTGACGATTAACCGAACCGGTTCAGGGCCCCCTCCCCTCGGTCGGCTAAGCCTCAAATGCGTACCCGGTGCGGTGTGTAGTAAACATCGCTACTGGGGAGACAAAGGCGGTCGGGCGTGGTGCTGGCCACTCACCCCCCCCCCCCCGCACCCCCTCGTGTACCGTCCGGGCCTCCATAGGTGCTGCTGGCTAAAAGCACTTACACCAACAGCCTGTTAAGGCTACACGGGGGATCTTTGTCATTGTCTAGGCAAAGGAGGAGACACGGAGAGAAGGGGGACGAGGGGTAGGGGTAGGGGGAGGTGGGGAGGCTGGGGGGGGGGGTATCGAGCAGGCAGGCGCACGCCTCCCTTCTTCAAAAGGACGTCGACTCGATGTTTCCCCGATGCGCGCTCACGTGAACGCGCCCACGTGAACGCGACCGTTGCGCGGAACGACCGGGCAGGAGGACTGAACGAAAAAAAAACAGAGAGAACATATTCACAAAACAACATCACGCCTTATTTTATTTCGTTGAAACAGACGACGCGTGATAGATAAATAACCGCTCTACTATAACGACACCAGCCTGTAGCAGCAGCAGCGGCGGCGGCAGCAGCCTCGTGTTGACATCAACATCTCCTGCGATGGTCGGAGCGGGCTCCGAGTCGCCTTACCCTGGCACTTGCAGGGTCCCACCACGGCGGCGATGATGATTACGACGACGACGATGATGATGATCTGGGCCGTGCTGGGGGTTGCTGCCGGAACGTTCATCGCTTTCCCGACGGCGCTGGGAGAAGGCGGGGCCGTTCGGCGATACGATGCGCGGCCTCCACCACACAAAGAGTCGCTGATCGATCCCCGCACTCTTTATGGCAGCGACGTTGATGAAGCTGTTGTTGTTGGTCATGCTGGTGGCAACGGCGACGACGACGGTGGTCGTGTTGTCAGAGGAAGAGAAGCGACACGGGGGGAAGAGACGAGCACCTTTGACGAGGATGGAGGAAGAGGAGGTGGTGGCACGTTCAGGAATCTGCCGTCGGCGGTGCCTCCGTTTGTCCCGGCGAGGGCTTTTGAGGTTCGACGCAAACGACAGGCGGCGGGGAAGACGGTCAACGCCGAGAATGCTCGCTCACCAACACCACCAGAACCAGCACCACCGTCACCATCACCACCATCAGCAGCAGCCACAACGGCGGCGGAGGACGTGAACGCCAAAGCGGAGCAGGCGGACGCAACCTCAATCCCGCACTCGCCACGTCCGGCGCTCGCTGATAACGGGACGGAGGTGGACACTGAAGTTGACCTCTCATCACCCGGACAGTCGTCCTCTTCATCATCATCGGATAACATCACAGAAGCGAGTGACCACTCGCCAAAGGTCATCACCCCGAAGACGAAGAGCGCAAGCGGACGCGCGGAGAGAATCCCACGGGCGAGGAATCCATTCAAGCCGGTGACGAGCGAGACGTACGGCGCCTACGCGATCCTCGGCTTCTCGCTGCTCCTCTTCGCAGTGGGCCTCGCCAGCAACCTCACCGTCATCTGCGTGGTGTGCAACAACCGCTACATGAAGAACGTCTCCAACTCGCTGCTGGCCAACATGGCCTTCTGGGATTTCCTGGTCATCTTCGTGTGCCTGCCGCTCACGGCCGTTCACGAGCTGTCCAAGCGCTGGGTGCTGGGCGACTTCACGTGCAAGCTGGTGCCGTACCTCGAGGTGAGGCTCGCGACTTACCTTACCTGAACGCGTGCACGAATGCACGCGCGACACCAAAAAGGGGGGGGGGGGGGGGGGGGGGGGGGGTAAAGGCGCAGCCCTGCAGTGTGGTCGCTTACATCACTGCTGTCGAAGGGGGCTTTTTTTTGCTCTACTCATTGACTCTTCCACGCGTGGAAGAGGTGGGAGTTACCCACACATCACCACAATCACACGTGACCTACCGAGCTACAGTACTGTGGTGGATCCATTCATGTGTGTGTGTTTATATATAGCGTGGACAGACGCGGAGAGATTGCATAGACTTGCCCCATTGATTAAAATACCGCGACGGGAGACTGAATCGAACCGGTGACCTCTGGGTTGTAATTGTATGTATTGTGTTGAACTTCTTTTGCAATGCGCGTAGCCAACCGTGCTAACCAATCACACCGAGGCAGAATTCGTCGTGCACATAAAACTGTATTGTGCTTAAATACTGTTCGTGCAGAAAGACAACAAGAGCGAAGATCCCCCGTATAGCCTACACAGGCGGGTTAGGGCAAAGTGCAGCGTTAGGTCCTGGGTAATATTCCGTGCAATGTCCTGTCTCAATGTGGAGGTAAACACGCACGCACGCTCAGCGAGTTTTTTTGTTTTGATGGCAAGGAAAAAAAGTATTTGATCCCCTGCTGATTTTGTACGTTTACCCACTGACAAAGTAATGATCAGTCTATAATTTTAATGGTAGGTTTATTTGAACAGTGAGACAGAATAAAAAAAAATCCAGAAAAACGCATGTCAAAAATGTTATAAATTGATTTGCATTTTAATGAGGGAAATAAGTATTTGACCCCTCTGCAAAACATGACTTAGTACTTGGTGGCAAAACCCTTGTTGGCAATCACAGAGGTCAGACGTTTCTTGTAGTTGGCCACCAGGTTTGCACACATCTCAGGGGGGATTTTGTCCCACTCCTCTTTGTAGATCATCTCCAAGTCATTAAGGTTTCGAGGCTGACGTTTGGCAACTCGAACCTTCAGCTCCCTCCACAGATTGTCTATGGGATTAATGTCTGGAGACTGGCTAGGCCACTCCAGGACCTTAATGTGCTTCTTCTTGAGCCACTCCTTTGTTGCCTTGGCCGTGTGTTTTGGGTCATTGTCATGCTGGAATATCCATCCACGACCCATTTTAAATGCCCTGGCTGAGGGAAGGAGGTTCTCACCCAAGATTCGACGGTACATGGCCCCGTCCATCGTCCCTTTAATGCGGTGAAGTTGTCCTGTCCCCTTAGCAGAAAAACACCCCCAAAGCATGTTTCCACCTCCATGTTTGACGGTGGGGATGGTGTTCTTGGGGTCATAGGCAGCATTCCTCCTCCAAACACGGCGAGTTGAGTTGAGCACTCCCTTTAAGAGTGTGCTCCTAATCTCAGCTCGTTACCTGTATAAAAGACACCTGGGAGCCAGAAATCTTTCTGATTGAGAGGGGGTGAAATACTTATTTCCCTCATCAAAATGCAAATCAATTTATAACATTTTTGACATGCGTTTTTCTGGATTTTGTTGTTATTGTCTCACTGTTCAAATAAACCTACCATTAAAATTATAGACTGATCATTTCTTTGTCAGTGAGCAAACGTACAAAATCAGCAGGGGATCAAATACTTTTTTCCCTCACTGTAGGTCAAACGTGGTTGTTCATAGCTCATCGTCAACACCACACAAGTCCCTTGATCATTCCGGTCAGAATGAATACTAACTCGATTGTGTTACGACCTAAATGATTCAAGCAAGCGATGTGATTGACAGAACTGAGACACACACACGCGCGCGCAGATGGACACACGAGGTCTGTAGGCGCATCAATGCTGTAGGCGCCGTGGCCCACGCCTGTGATCCCAGGGCTATGCGCTGCTGATGAGACCAAGGGAGCCGAAACCGGATCCAGGGTTGCCGGCTATACTTAAAGCGATTACAATTATTGATCCGTAAGCCGCAATTCCCAATGGACGACCCGCACCTTTGTGAGTATTAATAAACATTATTCATCCCTTTGTTAATCTACTGCTGGATGAAGGCTTCCCCGCAATAAACATGCTATATAATATATAGGCCTACTTGCACGTGTGTGTGTTATGCTGGCAAATATAGGCGGCACAGATTGTGCCGGCCAGTCATCTCAGTCAACCCATGGCATCTGGGTCAGTCCCGTGACATCCTGCCTGCGGGCGTTCGACACTTCACGTGGCCTTAACGTCCACATAGCCTGGCACGAGCACCGTCACCGCCACTTAGTGGCCAACGGCGGTTGTTGTTTGTTTGTGGCCGGGCGTGGTTGCTGGCCACCCACGCCCTCGTGTTCGCTGGCCACCCACGCCCTCGTGTTCCACGCCGCCCTTCATTGCTGTTCGCTAACAGCACTTGTGCACCAACAGTCTGCTAAAGGCTATATGGCAGGATGTTTGTGCTATGTGTGTACCTGTACAATCCAAGTACACGCACACACATGATCGGGGGTTCGGATTTGCCCAATTTTGGAGAGAAGCAAAAATAAATTACACCGCAAATGACGCGATTGGAATCTACGTGGCAACCATCGCCCCACGGCTGCGAAAGCTTGGCAGGGCCCTCCTGAAAAAGAGGCATGAGACTCGGCAAGGGTTTCCTGGGTAAACAAGTGTAATAGTAATGATAGGAATCAAATAATTACAACGGTAACGGAATCACGTGGATCGCGGAACCGAAATCATCACAATGTTCAACGTGAGCATCATTCTGGATTTTTGAGGTTTCTGGGTGGTCTTACACAACGGTGGCTGCCTACGCATTAAAGGCCGTGTCTAATTTGCCCTGCAATTGATCGTGTGATTCCGTTACCTTTGAATTGCATTCCTCCCTCCCCACATAGGAAGATCCCACAGTACAGCCGGCATACCTGAACACACGAATATGACTTGCCAATATATATACAGAAGACAAAGATACAGAAGACAAAGATCCCCCGTATAGCCTTAACAAACTGTTAGCGAGCACCTATTAAGGACGGCACGGCACACCAAGGGGTGGGTGGCCAGCACCACCCCCGGCCGCCTTTGTCTCCCTAGTGGCAATGTTTACACACCCTACCAGGTACTTATTTCAGGCTGAATCGACCTCGGGGAGGCCCAGGATAATCGTCACTGGTGTTGACCATGAGCGAGAATCAAACCCGGGTCGATATATACACACATACACAGACCGGCCACGGCTAACAATCAGTGGTGAATTAAATTTGAACCGGGTCCTGGGTACCCCCTTCACCAACACTGCACTGACGAGCGCGGTGTAGTATGGTGAAATAACCCCCCCCCCTCCCCCAAAGACCGACAGGGCGTGGGGGGAGGGGGGCAGTGGATTGTCAAAGAGCTGCAAACTGCAAAGGATTGAGATTGGATTCCCCCATCCTTCAATCCTCCTGACCACCCACCACGCATTCGTCTTTACGAGTACACCAAATAAATAACCTCCTTTCAAATATTAAATAACGCCCGTTACTGGACGCTGCACGCGCCTGATGATGGGTAAACGCTTCCCACGTGCATAAAGCTGCAATGCCAATCCTCTAAAACCGCACCCCACGCACCCACAACACCAACCAATATTCGCCATTCGCCACTCAGAGACGGTGACATCGCCACGGCCCTCTGTGCCAGGCCGGGTGCACTTTGAGGCGATCACGTGGAGTGTCGAATGCTCGCTGCTGGCAGGTCACAGGACAGAGCCAGATGCAATGGTGTTGACCGACTGAGATGACTGGCTGATGCACCACCTTTACCACACCGCCCCTACTGAATTTTATCCACCCGGCGCTCCGCTCGTCGTTGCGAGCGTCGCTCCATCTGCGCCTCCGTTCTTGTATGCACGTATGTTGAACTTACACCGTACGTAGCCAACCGTGCCTCCAAATGACCAGTAGCATCCTCCACCCACTCGCCCACCCACCTTCACCCATACCCACCCCGTATACCCACGCAAACAGGTGGCCAGCCTGGGCATCACCACGTTCACGCTCGCCGCCCTCTGCCTCGACCGCTTCCACGCCGCCACCAACGTGCGCCTGCACTACGAGCAGACGGAGGGCTGCATCTCGCGTGGCGGAAAACTCGCCGTGGTGTGGCTGGGTGCCCTCGTGCTCTCCACGCCCGAGCTGCTCATCCACGGCCTGGCGGGCAGGGACAGCGTGAGCAACAACAACAACCACCACCACTACCAGGACCACCAGAACACCCAGCAGCAGGGGGTGGCGGTGGCCGGAGGCGCTTCAAATGCCGCGGCCGGCGCCGGCTCCACGCTGCCGTACGACCGCTGCGAGATGCGAGTCCCGCACGAGCTGCCGGACTTCCTGTACATGCTCTCGGCCACGTACCGCGCCGCACGCCCGTGGTGGTTCTTCGGCTGCTACTTCTGCCTGCCCATCGCCTTCACCGTCACCTGCTCCGTGCTGACCGCGCGCAGGATGAAGGGAGCCGGGTATTGAACTCGGGTTTTCGTTGCTTGACGCACACGCGGGTTCACGGTGGGAGGGGGGGGGGCTCTCGGTTGGGATGATGATCTCCGGGTCTCGCGACGTGCGGGCCGTGCGGTTTCTAGGACCCCTCTCCCTCCCCCATCTCCCCCAGGGGCTCGCTTTTGTGTTGGGGGGGAGTGGGTTGGAGGAAGGGGGGGGGTCTCGGGACGGGGTTGAGATTGGAAGCAGCTGATGGCGTTGTGGTGTTCTGTAGAGAGATGCCGAGCGTGCGCCATGTGCTTCTTTGAATTCACACCGAGCTCAATCGTCCACGTGCGCAATCACTCGGATCGCGCGCACGCACAGACGCGCATACAGAGGTAAAGATCCCGCCCCCATCCCCTGTAGCCTTTAAACAGACTGTTGGGGCAAGTGCCGTTGGCGAGCACTTAAGACCGGCACGGCACACGTATGCATGCATGCACGCACGCGCATACACACACACTTACACCATTGCACGCACTGATAAGACACGTAGAATCCACATAAACACACAAAGGCAAAGATCCCCCATCGAACCTTTAACAGACTGTTGGGGCAAGTACTATTAGCGAGCACTTAAGGCGGGCACGGCGCACGGGGGAGTGGGTGGCCAGCACCACGCCCTGTCGCCTTTGTCTCCCCACTGCTGGCTACTCATTTTAAGACCGAGTCGACCTAGGGGAGACCAATGACCGGTTCAAATATTCGTCGCCGTTATATCGGCCGTGAGTGGAAATCACCCACAACATACTCCACAACAACAACAACAAAACAACCGCCGTTCGCCACTAAGTGGCGGTGACGTCGCCACGACGCCTGTACCAGGCCAGGTGCACTTTGAGGCCACGTGAAGTGTCGCAAGCCTGCTGGCAGGGGTTCACGGGACAGACCCCAGGTGCCCATGGGTTGACTGACTGAGATGACTGGCAGGTGCACAAACACACTCACATTCTGACCCATGTTTTCCACTAAACACCATATGGTGCTCACAAATCGGCCTTTTTACACAGTAAAAAGAAAATTCGCATTCTTTCAGCAATATCCGTACGCCATGAAACAAGCAGAGTCTAATTTTTGTTTAACCTTATTTCAGCTAAATTCTTACTTTTTCATGTTGGGTTTGTTTATGATTTGGTTACACAATACTTAACGGGAACTGGACTGCAAATGAAATGGATGCGTACTCGACTCTAACGGACGTAAAAAAAAATGTAAACACATCACTCGAGCGCTATTTAACACAGCGCGAAGACAACAAAAACTCAACCGTTTAATCAACAACACTGTGTGACCTTCAAAGGAGAATAATAAACAATGGACGACGTTTCGGGCAATGGCCCTACAGTACTCCATAGCACAATCACGGAACGCAGATTTCAGTCTTACACGCCGGGACTTCATTTATCGCAGGATATTTTTCCAGGGATGGTGCAAAGGCTGGCTTGGAGTAGAAATTATTGGCCTAAGGCACTACCACTTAAGAGCACAAAGCTCACCTTTGCATGAAAACCATCCATTATTATACTGTACATTGCCTATATTCGTATAATCGTATGAACAGGTTAATACAACAATTCATGGACTCACCGTTGTTTCTCATTGGCGACAAAATAAAACGAGATGGTTGTGTGTGGACAAAATACATCGTGAGAAGGTCAACAGTGGCTGTCCTATGGATAGACTCGCCCTCGCGATAGGAACGTGGAATGGCAGCAACCACTTTACTCAGAGTCGGTTATCGACAGGCGGCGATCACCAACACCGCAATGCTTGTATAGGCAGGTAATCGCGATTTCTTCACGACCATGATCGCTCCGAATTCCCGCTCGATCTCCGCGGCATCTCCGTGCGCCCGATTATTTAAGGGCAGGGGATTTTAACGACGCCTTAGCCCCCCCGACCCTGGGATCAACAGCTGGGAAGCTTTCAATCCGTCCGGATAACAGCGCTTGGACTCGGTCGCTCCGATCGTCCCCATGGGATCGACCGCCAACAACAGCTTTTAAAAATCAATAGCGGCCCATCTGTTGTTATGGAGTAAATGAAATTAAGAAGCGTGGAAAGAGCCCGATGAATCGAGCACACGTGCATATGTAGTAACTAGTAACGACACCCCTCTTGCCCAGTTAGTAGGCTTAGCCATGCCTTCTCTCGGCTGTAGCGTCACACTCACTATAAGAGTTTACGAACAAATTAAGCCTTCCATAATTTAGTCCTGCACAGCAGAGGGCAGTTCAGAAAAATTCCACCATCAATGTACTGTGCGCCTGTGCTTCCGCGTCTATGTCTTATGCCAACCCGCACTGACCAGCGTGGGGAAGTATGGTTGGAGTTAGGAGGCCTTTATCCAACGGTGGATTGGCAAAAGGGTGTTACTTTGTACACTGTAGTAGTAATAATAATAATTTAAATGTATAAAGCACCCGTAAACAATAGTTCTCAGGGCGCTACTGTAGGCACCGTTCTTCAAAATATCCAGACACAACTATTCGTAGCCGAGGGCAATAAATAAAAATGTTCACACAAATATCCGCTTTTACTTTTTCAAAGTTAGCAAATGCATAGACTCAGTGCCATTCAAATACTCCGGGTATAAACTTTCACACACCTAGATTTGAATGAAAACAAAGTTTGCCCTGGAATATCAAATATTTTGGGTTGCGTTTTGTTCAATACCGGGCAATGGACCCCACTCTGAACAACATGTGCCTGAGTTTATTTCAGGTAAGGCCCTTTGAATGTAAAAAAACAAATCTCTCTTTGGATTGAGACCTGGCCAAGGCAGCAAAGACATTCCATGGGAAGGGAGGATTTACAGGGCCTACCCTTTACCCTTCTAGAACACCACCATCATCATCATAGAGTGATTAACATCACCCACCCCAGTAACTCACGACCGCTAAAAGGCTATTCTGTACAGGGGTGTGAAGGTGCCCGGATTCATCAAATAATATCGATCTGTTAATTAAATTATGCTATGGGTTCACGCAGTAGCGTACCTGGCGTGGGGCAGCCAGGGGGTGCCTTGGCCCCTACTGGTGGCCAAAGCTTCAGAGTTGGGGCCCCCTTGACAACCACCATGAGATATGTTTTCAACAACGGCGTTGTTAAAAACATTTCCGATTACCGCACCCCCCCCCCCCCCAGTTGATAATGTAGCAACTGCGCCATTGGGTTCGCGTGACCCCCCCCTCCCCCCATCATCAGCCACGAAAGGCTGCTACAATTCCACAATGTTCCAAAGAAAAAGGAATAATCGATCATTAAAATCGATGTGATGGCGCCCCTGTATGGCGAAAATTAATCCAACCGCGAAGGTTACCGTCGCGATTATATTCCGAAATAGAATTACATGGTAAAACATTATTTAAATTTGAAATAAAAAAGTAGACAGTTTAATTCCAACAAATGTAAATCACGTGTCAAAATAAAATGTACGCACTCATCCATTGCATTAACAGTAAAGCGCGGCACAAACCGTTTGAGTCTGCAGTCTCGTTGCTGCGTGTGTTATACCCGTCAGCGGAATAACATTTCAATGCGTAGACCACAATTATATTCGATTTCCATTTTACAAGGCGCCCTTCAACATAGATGCGAGAATGCTGTATGGTTCACAAAGTGCTCAATATTCATGGGTGACTTGACAGTCTGAGCACAACTGTCACGGAACCGACGCAGCTCTCAAGGGGTGAGTAAAACATACAGGGAGGGAGGGCTTCAGCTATCATCGAATACATTCTGGGTCAGTTTAACAACACGGAGTAGAATATGCAGAGGATGTTGTGGGTCGCTGATAGCCCTGGAGTGGGTGGCACCAAATTGGTATATCCACAGCCATAGCGAGAGGGATACTGGTGTGCAGGACAGGGGAAATAATTTGCGGGTCACCGACCCAAACAAACTCGGCTGAAATTAATTATCTGTTTTTAATGTACAGTAAACAAATCAATATATATTTTTAATTTTACCAAGTAAAGCAACCCGAGCTATGCAGCCGTTTATCAGAAGCGACCGGGCCACAAATAATAACTTAACGAAGCGGCTTTTTACGTGCAAATGTATAACAGCCAAATACTCTATACGAACGTTTCTAAATGTGGAGGGAAAAACCGGAGGACTCGGGAGAAAAATCCACGCCGGCACGGGGAGAGAGACACTCAGACTCCAAACATACAGCACGCGTCAGGGTGTGGATGGAACCCACGATCTGCTGTATACCTGGCGAGGTAGTTAACATCTCGCCTCCACGGCACCCAGTACCTGGGCGGAAATGACAAATGTGTAATGACCAGTTGCTTAATTACAGTCGACACAGTCAGGAACGGTTTTTTTCCGAGCATTATAGATTTTGTCCACGCCACATATAAAGTCGCCTCTGTCCTCATGACAATGGCAACAACAGTCTTCTTCTTTTGTATGGCATTTTTTGGGATTGCAACAGATTGGAAATTGATGTCGAGATTTGATATCCAACGATGTTGAGTCCTAGGATCTAATTTCTATACAAATTGTATACAATCGTTCTCAGCGCCCTGATAACGATTGTTTAAGGGCGCTTTATCAATTTAAATTATTATATTGTACACCTATGCACGCATTGGATATAGGGTACACAGACTTAGAATTGTCATCTAGTGGTAGTGCCTTACGCCAAATAATTTGTACGCCTCCAAGCCGGCCCAAGTAGATAGAATTCCAGAAACATATCGATTGAGAGAAGACGAAAAAAAAGTCCTTGGTTACGAATCTCGGTTAGAAGCTGTGATCGAGTGAGGCAGTGGAAAACTAATCAAGGCTGCGCTGTCTCTTCTGCCGCTAGCGAGCCGGGCGAGGGATGGTAAACATTCTACAGAGCCTCCTGAACAAGGGCCACAAGACAGCTCATCGGCTGCCAAAGAAAGCCGCGCAGGACAAGACAAACTGTGTCAAATATCACGGGCGCCGGCTGGCGAGGATTGCAGCTTATTGAGTAAGCTCTTAAGGAGTTTAAGGGCTAGGAGGGTTTTTTTTGTTCTATCTGAGATGGGCCCTCTGTGTTGAGAGTTGGTTGTACGCCGAGCCTATGCATGTTGGTGGTGTTTGTAGTGCAGTGGCACACGAGAGGGTAGGTGGCCAGAACCATGCCCGGCCGCCTTTGCCTCCCCAGTAGCGATGACTAGAGTATTTGCCAGCTGTAAATTTCCACGTGATAAGCCACTTCGCTGAGCTATCATTGGTGGTAGCCAGGTCGCTTCTGAAAAAGAGCGAAATAGCTCAGTGGGTCTTCCCTGGTCAAATAAATAAAAAAAAAACCATGAGTTTGCGGCACACTTCTTGTGACATGCATGTACGCACGTTGAACTTCTTTCACACTGTACGTGGCCAAGCGTGCTGATCGGGAGGTGCGTGCGGGGGAAGGACAACAAACTAAACACGCGCAAACAAAAACCACCATTCCTCGTGACTCGATTCCTCCTTCCCTCCTCCCCACTTCCGACGCGCAGCGCCGCCGCTCACAACAAACCTTCGCCGGGCGAAGCGGGCCCCGCCACGTCGCTGACGCGCGGCAGCACCCGGCAGCAGCTGCGCCTCGAGCGGCAGATGAACTGCGCCGTCGTGGCCCTGGCCACCGCCTATGCCTGCTGCCTGGTGCCCGAGATCGTGTGCAGCATGGTGTGGGAGTACGCCGGCGTCGGGGGCGGCCAGTCGCCTGCGCTCGACGTTCTGCACACCGTCGCCCAGTACCTGCTCTTCTCCAAGTCGTGCCTCAGCCCCGTGCTGCTGCTCGGCCTCTGCCGCGAGCTGGCGAGGGCGGCCCGCGCCTGCTGCTGCTGCTGCTGCCCCTGCCCGGAGACGGGGGGCGGCGAGGGTTCCGCGGAGGCGCCCTCGTCGCCGGCGCCGCCCGGCGGCGGCGCGGTCGTGGCGCTCTCCCCGTGCGTGGCGACGGTGGCGAGCGACGAGAACGAGAACGAGCGGCCGGCCGGGGAGATGGAGCTGTTCACGTTCAGCACCGTGCAGCGCGAGCTCACCACCTTCTCCACCGCTTGAGTCGCCCGGCCCGGAGATCGTCGGGTGTGCAGGCCGTGCAACTGCACACTTGTTGGTGGGCTATGAATATCGGTGGGGTGGGGGGGAGGAGGGGTGGGGGGAGGTATTGTACGCGACGGGGGTCGACCCCATTTCACTCATTGCACCAGGGCCCATGCCAACCACGCTCCTACGCCCACTGAGCCTGTTTGCAGTGCCTGCGCAATTGGTTCACATAAACACACAGCCTAGACACCAGCGATTCTAGGACAGAGTAAAGAAGGTGTGTGTGTGTGGGGGGGGGGGGGGGGGGGGGGGTTTGGGGGGGGTAGTGTGAAGGGGGTGGCACTACCAATTATTGGGGGTGGTGGTGGCGGCGGTAGTGGTGGTCACACGCATTCACATACCAACACTTTCAATGTAAAACTCCATAAAGCGGGAGATTGTTGTAGTTGTTGTTCGAGCCGACCTTGAAGGTGCAGTTTGTGATCGCGTAGCTGCTGTGGAATCTGGCACGAAGGAAGGAAGTGATGGCAGGATACGGTGGCATTAACGACCACTTAACGTTGAACTCTGAGTGTCGCTACATCCACCCTGAGGACGAGTGTCTCCCATTTACAGGGGGGTAGGGAGGTGGGTGGGGAGGGCACGTTCCCTCATTCCGGTCGCCCACAGAATGACCTCTGCCAAGAAGTCCCATCTGTCCCTTGTGTGCTGGTGTACCATACAGCACTCTCCAACAGCTCAAGGGACAACCGTGCAATTCCTCACGCCCATCGCTGGTGCAAGGGCCTCCACTAGATGGAGCTCCAGAGAGCACCTCGAGGAGCGGTCCTTGGCCTACTCTTCCACGCTGGCCAGACGTCTTGAAAGTGATGGGAATCGCCCGCACTTTACCCCACTCCACTCGACTTGACCGCCCAGCGCACGCAGACTAGCTAAAACTACGGTGCTTCTTTCTCACATCACAGCGCCGTTGGGGTGTGGCACGGATGCAGAGAGAGGCCTCGTTGAAACAGACTGCATTTTGTTTTGTTTTAAAAAGAAAACAAATCCCCCCCACACGGCATCGCTTTAGCCGTGCGCAACTTCTGGGCACGAGTGCCCCCAGCAAACGCCGTACGAAGGCTTACGGTGGTGTGGCCAGTATGCCCGTGCATGCTCCCCTATCTGATGTTGATACAGATACTCATTTTGGGTTGAGTCTAAACCAGGGGTGGGCAAATTTTTTGACTCGCGGGCCACAATGGGTTCTAAAATTTGACAGAGTTGCCGGGCCAGGAACAGATGGAGTGTTTGTGTGAACTAATATAAATGACATGTAAAAATAATTATATGAAAGGATTTGGCCTTTAACAGGTAGCAAAGCATTTATTTGCAAGGCGATTTAACAAATTGCACGAACATGAACAATACAAAAACATGTAACTCCCGGTCAAAGTGCGCCATCTCATGGGGAAATGGGGGCATTACAGGAGAAGGGGAAAATTTTATTAAAAAATATTATTATTTGTACAAGTTCGGCGGGCCGGATTAAAAAGCCCAACGGGCCGTACTTGGCCCATGTCTGGTCTAAACTAAACTGAACTATTTGTTGTTGTTTTTGCGAGGTAAGGCCCCAACTGAGCTATAAAGCTCTCTTTGAGAAGCCATCAGAGCTCTCACCAATGATCGCTCAACAAAGTGGCCCCTCGCGCGGACATTGAACGCAGCCAGACACTTTAAAACCCCGTGATGTTGATTCTAAACGTGCAGGGAGCAAAATCCCACGCGACCACGGGGACAGAGAGAGAGAGACAACACAAACTCCAAATATACAGCAGCAGCAGCAGGCGTCAGCGTCGGGATCGAACCCACGGACCTCCCGCATACCAGGCGAGGTAGTCAACATCACTCCACAGCGGTGCCACACGTACCCGGACGATGTCCCCATGTGGACGAGATGCCCACTGAGGTAGGGATCGAGGCAGATAAGACACACGTACAATCAGGAGGCGGGCGGCTTCAGTTCTCGTCAATCCTCTACGTGTTGATCCTTGCAATAAGGCGAAACAGTTCACGGATTCAGAGCTCCGCACGCTTGCGGCTGAACTGCAGCACTGTATATGTAAACCGTTGTTATCGATTCGTCGATTTTCTTGCTGAATCGTCTTCATCGCCTATGGGACGTGAAGCCCACGGTAGACGCATCGAATCACGGGAGCGAGAATCGACATTTCTTGTGTAACCGGATCGCTTCGACCCCCTCGCAGCCACAAGCGTAAAAGAATCGAATATTGAATGGAATCGGAACCTTTTTGGAATACAGCGATTCGCAGAGTCGCCTTGGCTAGGGGTCAATCGATATCACCATCGTCACCATCGAACAATCATCAGCCACGATCGATCCACTGCTGGATGAAAGCATGCCCTCCCACCTCTTGGTTGCCACCAGCCTCTCGCGACCCTGCCATGCAACCACCGACCCAGCGCGCGTCCACGCATCGTTAGCGCGCTAAATTAATATCGGTTGCACATTATTAATAATTTTCACGTTTCCCAAAAAGCCAATACAGTACTTTAACAAAAAATGATTACACTTAAAAATAAAACACTCCCACTATGGTATGATTAATATTCAGCAGAGTGCTGGATTTATATAATCCAACAATGCCACTATAGAGTCAGGCTTACAAACGAATCGCGATGTGTGAATGGCAGTTGTCAGTAAGTAATTACACCCTTCATAAAGACGGACGCACGCCTCTCACTTATTAAACGGTTCCAGCGTAGAATTTCCATTTAAATTAACTGAGCGTGCAGCCTCCGACTTCCAGTCGCCGCCAATTATTCGTTTGTTATAAATATCCGTGCATTTGTTTGAAAAAGAAAAGAAAAACGGCTGCCAAACACGATTGCCATATCTCACAGCCTCCGGAACACACACCAGGTCACCACCAACCACACCAGGTCACCACCACCAACAACCACACCAGGTCACCACTAACAACAACCACACCAGGTCACCACCACCAACTACCACACCAGGTCACCACCAACCACACCAGGTCACCACCACCAACCACACCAGGTCACCACCACCAACAACCACACCAGGTCACCACCAACCACACCAGGTCACCATCAACCACACCAGGTCACCACCAACCACACCAGGTCACCACCACCAACCACACCAGGTCACCACCACCAACAACCACACCAGGTCACCACCACCAACAACCACACCAGGTCACCACCACCACCAACCACACCAGGTCACCACCACCAACCACACCAGGTCACCACCACCAACAACCACACCAGGTCACCACCACCACCAACCACACCAGGTCACCACCACCAACAACCACACCAGGTCACCACCACCAACAACCACACCAGGTCATCACCACCACCAACCACACCAGGTCACCACCACCAACCACACCAGGTCACCACCACCAACCACACCAGGTCACCACCACCAACAACCACACCAGGTCACCACCAACCACACCAGGTCACCATCAACCACACCAGGTCACCACCACCAACCACACCAGGTCACCACCACCAACAACCACACCAGGTCACCACCAACCACACCAGGTCACCACCACCAACAACCACACCAGGTCACCACCACCAACCACACCAGGTCACCACCACCAACCACACCAGGTCACCACCACCGACCACACCAGGTCACCACCACCACCAACCACACCAGGTCATCACCACCAACCACACCAGGTCATCACCACCAACCACACCAGGTCACCACCACCAACCACACCAGGTCACCACCACCAACCACACCAGGTCACCACCACCACACCAGGTCACCACCACCACCAACCACACCAGGTCACCACCACCAACCACACCAGGTCACCACCACCAACCACACCAGGTCACCACCACCACCACCACCAACCACACCAGGTCATCACCACCAACCACACCAGGTCACCAACACCAACCACACCAGGTCACCACCACCAACCACACCAGGTCACCACCACCACCAACCACACCAGGTCATCACCACCAACCACACCAGGTCATCACCACCACCACACCAGGTCACCACCACCAACCACACCAGGTCACCACCAACCACACCAGGTCATCACCACCAATCACACCAGGTCACCACCACCACCAACCACACCAGGTCACCACCACCACCACCAACCACACCAGGTCACCACCAACCACACGTGGCTTATCGACTGCTCAGATCAAGAGGCTTCCTTCCTAAAGCCGTTGAACGTCAACTCGCGATCCTGCGACGGTCAGGATCCATCTCGCAACCCCCGCCACCCCCTCAAACCTCGGGTAGGACCTCAATTCACAAATTCCCACTGTTCGCCATCGCAGTGGTTCTCTTGGGGGCGCGTTTCTCTCCTTTCGGCTGCCATTCCGTCACCAGTCTCGTCCATCAGCCGTCGTCCACTGCCACTTGCAGTGGCTCGTGCCAAAGGCCACTTTAAACAACGGCCAATTCGCTGTCTCTGATCGCGCGGTTGTCCGCTGATCCTCACGCTCAGGGGCGGAGCCAGGATTTTCAGCCCGGGGGTGACATTCAACAAATTTTAATTTCAAGAATGATTACAGAGTCAGGCTGTTGAACTAGACGCCATCGGTTGGCGACACACTCTGACAATGCAGTTGCACGGAGTCCGCCAGACCGAGTGTCGTACACTTATACGCAGAATGTTTCAGATTTTCGATTTTTTATTTTTTGTCGGGGGTGACAATTGTCTACCCTGTCACCCCCCTGGCTCCGCCCCTGCTCACGCTCCACTTGCTGCGCTCTTCGACGCAATCCTCGGCATGCACATCTTCCGCGCTTCTTTTTGCACTTTGCAGCTTTTTTCAATTTCAATTGGCTAATTTGGTCGTCACGGCAGGTCAAGAAGGCGCTGGTTTCGGCGGTGGGTGTTCGTGGAATTTGTTTGTGGCGAGCGGATCGGGGTATTTTTTTTGTTTGTTTACTAACGTGGCTCTACAAAATGTTGCACGCACGGTACGGGTTGGGCAGGTGGAATGTCA